TACAATGTACTGTACATTGTTGTAATGTTCTTTCCACGTTGTTGCAACATTCTTCCGACATTGACGCCACAATTTTGCATCATTCTTATAACATTTTTGCAACATTGACGCCACAATTTTGCATCATTCTTGCCACATTGTTGAAACATTCTTGACATATTGCTCCAAAGTTTTTAAAACATTGTTGCCCCATTTTTGCCACATTGTTGCAACATTCATTCCACATTGTCGCCACAATTTTGCAAATTCTTATGACATTTTTGCAATATTCTTGCCACATTCTCACAACATTCTTGCCCCTGAAATTTCGCCCCCAAACATTCCAAATTATAAAACCATCTAAGCAACAAATTCTCAATGCAACACGTCAATATACCCAACATTCCCGGCTTTTCCAGGAAAGTTACAGCCGTTATACCGGTGTTAACGTGCGTCCGTAAGCCGGCGGTAACTTTTTTGCAGCGGAACGCGGGGAGTACCGTATGCAGATGACCGGATAACTAATTAGTTCTAATTATGAATTCATGTTTCCGCGGCACGCAAACTGGTATATCCGCGGAACGCCGGATTTTCCTTGTGCAATGCACCACCGGCGTCGTTCCCTCTGACATTGTCACTCCCGTCGACGTTGACGCGTACGCCCGAGTCCCCGTAAGAAACTGTAGCGTAATTGCCCGACGAGCGGCGCGGCCGCGTCTCAAACCGTCTGGAACTCGTGTGCGTCACGTGACAGGCATAATTGTTTTAACGTTTTAATAACTGCGCTCGCGTGCACGGGTGGAAGGGGGGAGGGTGGGGAGACTGCGTGCATGTATAATAAAAGAGCGGCTCGATGATGCGGGCTCGTGCTGAACGCGATACTTGCGCCGTCTACAGTTTTCCTCAAGTGGCCCGGTCACGTGGTACATGAACAGTTACCGCGAACAGTTCAAGAACATACGAACACTAGACGATTCATAAATTTACTGTGAATATTCAACGACCGGATTGAACGTTTTATGCGTTTACGACGGAGATCGATAAATCGAATGCGAAGCGATGGAAATGTTCAGGGAATTTCTGGATTCGGAGATTATTTGTCGAAGCATTTATATTTTATTCGTTCCTGTGTGCGACTGCTACGTTGTTATTGATTACTCTCGTTATAACAAAGGGTCTGTGCCGACGATAAATAATGTTCTTATTGAAATGAGTATTATAGGTATTATATTTCTATTATTATATTTTTTAGATCTTAAATCGGTATAAGTATAAAAATACTATTATTATTATATACTATGTATTACCCTATATACTATGTAATAAACTATATGGTATACTATAAACTATGATATATGCTATATATTATACTATATAATAAATAGTATACTAAATAGCACATTATGTACTATACTATATACTATACTGTAGGCTATATAATGGGCTATATCTGTCTCTTATACACATCTAGATGTGTATAAGTGACAGATACTATACTATATACTATGCTGTAGGCTATATAATGGCTGTCTCTTATACACATCTAGATGTGTATAAGTGACAGATACTATACTATATACTATGCTGTAGGCTATATAATGGCTGTCTCTTATACACATCTAGATGTGTATAAGTGACAGATACTATACTATATACTATGCTGTAGGCTATATAATGGCTGTCTCTTATACACATCTAGATGTGTATAAGTGACAGATACTATACTATATACTATGCTGTAGGCTATATAATGGCTGTCTCTTATACACATCTAGATGTGTATAAGTGACAGATACTATACTATATACTATGCTGTAGGCTATATAATGGCTGTCTCTTATACACATCTAGATGTGTATAAGTGACAGATACTATACTATATACTATGCTGTAGGCTATATAATGGCTGTCTCTTATACACATCTAGATGTGTATAAGTGACAGATACTATACTATATACTATGCTGTAGGCTATATAATGGCTGTCTCTTATACACATCTAGATGTGTATAAGTGACAGATACTATACTATATACTATGCTGTAGGCTATATAATGGCTGTCTCTTATACACATCTAGATGTGTATAAGTGACAGATACTATACTATATACTATGCTGTAGGCTATATAATGGCTGTCTCTTATACACATCTAGATGTGTATAAGTGACAGATACTATACTATATACTATGCTGTAGGCTATATAATGGCTGTCTCTTATACACATCTAGATGTGTATAAGTGACAGATACTATACTATATACTATGCTGTAGGCTATATAATGGCTGTCTCTTATACACATCTAGATGTGTATAAGTGACAGATACTATACTATATACTATGCTGTAGGCTATATAATGGCTGTCTCTTATACACATCTAGATGTGTATAAGTGACAGATACTATACTATATACTATGCTGTAGGCTATATAATGGCTGTCTCTTATACACATCTAGATGTGTATAAGTGACAGATACTATACTATATACTATGCTGTAGGCTATATAATGGCTGTCTCTTATACACATCTAGATGTGTATAAGTGACAGATACTATACTATATACTATGCTGTAGGCTATATAATGGCTGTCTCTTATACACATCTAGATGTGTATAAGTGACAGATACTATACTATATACTATGCTGTAGGCTATATAATGGCTGTCTCTTATACACATCTAGATGTGTATAAGTGACAGATACTATACTATATACTATGCTGTAGGCTATATAATGGCTGTCTCTTATACACATCTAGATGTGTATAAGTGACAGATACTATACTATATACTATGCTGTAGGCTATATAATGGCTGTCTCTTATACACATCTAGATGTGTATAAGTGACAGATACTATACTATATACTATGCTGTAGGCTATATAATGGCTGTCTCTTATACACATCTAGATGTGTATAAGTGACAGATACTATACTATATACTATGCTGTAGGCTATATAATGGCTGTCTCTTATACACATCTAGATGTGTATAAGTGACAGATACTATACTATATACTATGCTGTAGGCTATATAATGGCTGTCTCTTATACACATCTAGATGTGTATAAGAGACAGACTATATACTATATTTACTATATACTATACTATATACTATTTACTATATACTATACTATATACTATATTTACTATATACTATACTATATACTACATAATAATTAATTATTATATAATAATTACTATTATTACTATCTTTTTAATGCAATACCCACTTAAGGTCTACAAAATACACTTGATAAATTGTCGTCTCAGGCTCAGAAGAAAAGTTGCAAAAAACAAAAAAAGAAAAAGAAAAAATTTCAGGAATAAAAATAAAAAATAACATAAAAATCGTTTCGGTTTTGAAAGCTGAACACTTTCCAAAACGCGCGTAAAAGTTCGGAAGTGGATGCGACATGGCTGGAACTCAATTATTCCGTCGTTTCTGGTTGCTTTCTCCCGTTTCGGTCCGGAGACGACTGTTGTAATTGATCCATTAGCGGCAGGCGGGCCGGGTGCCCGTCGCGGAATGCAATTCCGTGGCGGCGTGCATCGATTCGCGTCGGCGCCGGAAAATCGCGCCGCGTCGGACGCGCGCCGCCGCAGCGGCGGCGTTTTTCTCGCCGCGCCTGCCGCGTACAAATACGGGATATAAGCCGCGCGCGGCGAAAAGAACGGCGGTACGAAAAGAACGCGCGAAATGCCGTCGGTCGTAAAACGGCGGCGGGTATAGGTTGCGCGAGTTCTCGCGGCGTTCTTATCGGGGGGCTCGTCTCTGAAACCGCGTAAACACGGCGGAACGTATCGATCCGGCAGGCGGCGGCGCGCCGCGCGTCGGATACGCTGTTTTAATGGAAAACCACTGTTCGCTCGATCGTCAATCCCTAAGTGCTCGTAAATCATAAACGCTTTCCGGCGCGTTCTCCCGGGCGCCAACGCGGCGAATAATTCACGCCGATCGCGGCCGAAACTGTTAATTGTGCGGGCATTCCGTCGCGAATCGCGATCTGTTTGACTTTCTCCGGCGTTTCTTTCCGTTTTCGAAGAAATTCTAGCGGCTTTTGCGACTGTGTTTACAAGGTTATTTGAAATAATAAATATTATATTTAATAATATAATATTTAAATATTAAATAATTTAATAACATTTGAAAATTATTTGGTCTGAAAAAAAGTTAGAATTTTTTGTATATCTTATATCTTATTTTTTTGTAAACATCTTTTTACCTTGTTCAATAAATTATTATTATTACAATAAAATTAGGGATATTAGCAATTTTTAAACACAGTCAAATTTTAAAAAATCTCGTGATGGCCATGATTGCAGAGATATTGTTTATCTAAACTAAAAAAAGGATGCAAGAAAAATGTGTCTTTTAAAAAAATGTAAAATATGTGGTTAAAATGAATATAAAAAAATATATAAATTCTGTACTTGAAATGAATTTTATAAAAAATTTCTTAACTACGTATTTTAAATGAATATTGAAAAAAGGGAAATATATATTTCATATGAATATTAAAAAATATGTAAAATAGGTATATATGTCAAATGAATTTGAAAAAATGTGAAATATATATTTTAAATGAATATTAAAAAATATCTAGAATACGTATATTAAATGAATTTGAAAAAATGTGAAATATATATTTCAAATGAACATTAAAAAATATCTAGAATACGTATATTAAAGGAATTTGAAAAAAATGTGAAATATGCTTTTCAAATATAAATTGAAAAATCTTTGAGAAAATCGCATTCGCCGTCTATGGTTATGGTCCGGAGATATCGCTGGAATTCGTGGAACACGCGGCCCATGCGGGCAGCTGAGATTCTTCGACTTAGAGCCACCGTTCCTTATTATTGCTCCCCCGCTCCTGCTAATATTCCGCGAAGAACGAGATTCGTTTCCGAGAGGTCCATTACGATTGCTATAATAGCGCGCTCATCAGACCTAACCGTCTATCACCTTTACCTTCGTCTTGTCTAATTACAGGTCACGTTTATTGTTTCAGGATGAGAGCGAGCTCTCGAGCAAGCGGTGGGCCAGTGCGCCCCGCCGCCCGGACAGCCCCTGCGTCCTGGGGGCACCAACGTCTAGGGAGGTACGTGAATCTCTGATCCAGATACTCCGTTCCGCCACTGCCAATTCGTAGCAGTTTCTCGTAATTTTTGCTTACGCAATTACCATTTGTTGACGCAATTATTAGCGAATTCTTATGCAACGACGCGGAGCATCTTACTGCAATTTTGCTAGTGGGTAGTGCGAGTCAAATTAGGGAGGATTTATGTCATCGCATCGCAGACTTCGAAATAGTTCGCGAAACGCAGGCCGTTGAAAAGCGCAATTTTTGGACGGCTAAGTTTCGATAAGCAGATATTTTAATCCGCGAAATTTCACATAACAACGCGAACGATTTTGCTGAAACTTTGCTGCTATGTAGTTCATTGAAAATTAGGGGGGGTTTGTGTCATCGCGTCGCGAATTTCGAATTCGTTTGCACATTGCGCAACGTTGAATCGCGCGATTTTTGAACGCCGAAATCCGAGCTTCGGAAATTAAATAAACACGAAGTTCGAAGATTCGAAAATTTTTCTGAAACAACGTGGAGGATTTTGCTGCAACTTTGCTAGTGGATAGTGCGAGCAAAATTAGGGAGGATTTATGTCATCGCATCGCAGACTTCGAAATAGTTCGCGAAACGAGGGTCGTTGAAAAGCGCAATTTTTGGACGGCTGAGTTTCGATAAGCAGATATTTTAATCCGCGAAATTTCACATAACAACGCGAACGATTTTGCTGAAACTTTGCTGCTATGTAGTTCATTGAAAATTAGGGGGGGTTTATGTCATCGCGTTACGAATTTCGAATTCGTTTGCAAATTGCGCAACGTCGAATCGTGCGATTTTTGAACGCCGAAGTCCGAGCTTCGGAAATTAAATAAGCACGAAGTTCGAAGGTTCGAAAATTTTGCTAGTGGATAGTGCGAGCCGAATTAGGGGGGGGGGGGTTATATCATCGCATCGTAGATTTCGAAATAGATCGCGAAATACACTCCAGCGAGTTGTGCAATTTTCGAGCGCTGCAATCGCTGTTTTAAAATTTGCACCGCAACGATGTAAATTCGAATAACTGTAACCGGCTAAGGTACAATCTCAATAAAAACGTTCGCCAGAAAATTTACTCGCGACTGGAACGGCGAACGTTCGTCCGGTTTAAGAGTTAATTCGAGCTGAACGAAAATTTGTGTACCGCCGCGGCGTTTGAACGCGGCGCGACGATTTAGGTGCGGATCGCAATCTAAACATCGCGCGTCGGACATTAAGACAACATGGAGCCCTCGAAGATCGCCGTGGGACTCTAAAATCCTCGAGTTTAGAGGACCATTTAGCGGGAGACGGGACGATCTCCGATCCATTTGTACCGTTACTTTCTAGTTTTTTATTAGTCCCCGACCAACGACAACGTCCTTTCGCAGACGTACCGGCGGCTACGGAGAAGAAAAAACGCGACGATAGTGGCATGCATCCACATATCAATCGTTTATTGCGCCGCGCAGATTATGCAAATCGTTCCGTGCGTTAACGTTGATGCAGTTTATTGAGTCGTAATGCCCGAAGTGCGGATGCCGGTGCGTTCGTCCCGCGTATAAGAAGAGGGCCGCGGGCACGCCGTTTGTCTACATTATTTCTATTTATGTGGAAATTGTAGGCGGCCGCCGGGAGAATGGTTTCAAAGAGGATCGAGCGATGACGGTGGTGACACAGTTCTAGAACTCGCGCGAAGAAAATTCGATTCCACTGGAAACGAGATTCCAGTATCTGCGAAACACCCGCCACGTTTGCTTGCGCAATTTTTTGAACGAAAATGCTCCAATATGTGCTTTGATAACACGGATTGTATTTCGGTAAATTGTGCCGATTTATTTCTTTGTTTATTTATGAGTTTGGTTATGTCAAGCTAGGGTTGGTTACAAGTAAGGTTGGTAGTACTTAAGAGCGGAATGTGTAGAGAGTGAGGTTATGGGCCCCGATGAGAGAGCACGTGTGAGAAATTTACTAAAGAGTTTTCCTTTAATTTTTTCTATTTTTCCATGTCAAAGTTATTTAATTATATTTATTTTCGTTTGTGTTCGATAAGGGTGTGCTTTATTATTAGAATATTTGTCACAGCAACTAATTGATGACATATTATCACAAATTAATTGCATTAAACTTTAATTTGTAAATCAATTGAATCTCCAATAAAGTCGTATCAGTGCATCAGTTTGATTCATTAGCAAAGGAAATCCACAAGAAAAATAGCACGAAAAAGTACATTTAAATAAATAATGCGATTCCACTGGAAACTCGTTTGCGAAACAGGCAGCGTATTTGCTTACACAATTTTTAAAATAGAAATACTCTAATATGTACTTTGACAACGCGAACTGTATTTGGTCCAGTAAAATACAGTAAAATACAAATATAATAAATCGTGCCGATTTATTTCTTTATTTAGTTTGTATCCCTGTTCACAGTTAATACAAATGAGGTTGGTAGTACGTAAAAGCGGAATATACAAGGTGTCCCAAAAATGTCTCGCAATCCGGAAATGGCGGGTTCCTCGGATCATTTGAAGCAACTTCTTCCTTTATAAAAATTTTCTCCGAGGCACCGTTAACGAGTTATTAACGAAAGACAGTGACCAGTAAGAATCGAGTACGGCTGACGCGAGGCGGCCCAGCCAATCAGCGTACGAAGCTCGGTCGCCTCGCGCCAGCTGAGCTCGCCTCTCATTGGTCACTGTTTTTCGTTAATAACTCGTTAATGGTGCCTCGGAGAAAATTTTTGTAAAGGAAAAAGTTGCTTGAAATGACCTGAGGAACCCACCACTTTCGGATTGCGAGACATTTTTTGGACACTCTGTAGAGAGTGAGGTTATGGGGCCCAGTGATAGGACACGTGCGAGAAGTTTACTAGAGAGTTTTTCTTTAGTAGTTCCTATTTTTCCATGCGTCATAATTTATTATTAAAACAATTACCACAGTAACTAATTGCTGAGATATAATTACAAGTTAACTGCATTGATTTTCAATTTATAGAACAATTCAATCTCCTATAAAGTCATATCGTGTTTTGATCTATTAACAAAAGCAATGGTCAAGAAAAATAGCAGGTAAACGTACATTTAAATAAATAATTAGCTAGCTGATTCACAAAGTATCATTTTCCTAATTCAACTATATAACGTCAAGCCTTAGCTTACAAGGCTACTTGATTAATAAAGTCATCTTACATATCAGGATAATCTACCAACAAAAGTGTCTCTCAATAACATACAATTAACAACACATCTAGGTACGTTATCACAGCATTTATTATTAACAATTTATAAGCTATATATATATATATATATTAATAGCTAATAATATATATATATATTATTAGCTATTATTATAGCTAGATAATTCACTAAGCCTTATTTTCCCAAATTAACAGCATCAGCCCAGAGCCCCCAAAGCCAGTAGATCAATAAAGTTAGCCTTCGAATCAGGAAGACCGATCAGCAGAATTACTCCCAAGAAAAACTAGCCTGCGAACGAGTATGCAAACGGACGTGTACCTAATTGCCGAAGTTATGTTTGCGCGGGCATCTCTGTTATGTTTGCCGCCGGTCTTCTATGAAGTCATCAGCTGCATTAGGCTCGCTATTGAGCAGAAAAGCTCCGGTCTCTCCAGAAACGGCTGTGGAAAGAAGCAGCCGTAGGAATTGCAAGGTCGTTTGCATCGCGGACAAATTTCAAGCTCGGTTCCCGCCGCGATCCGCCCTCTGGTCTATCGCGACTTTTTGCCAGGCAAGAAGGCGCGCGTGTCGCCATTTGTTTACGGATCGTGGCCGCCGGGCGACCGTGACGGTGCCGCCGATCGGTATCGATCGATGGGAGAGAAGCGCGTGTCGATTGGCCGCGAATGGAAACCCGCTCGATTCCGCGCGGTACGTGATGGCACCCGAATCGTGACGCGCCGACGCCGCCGATACTCCTGCAGAGACAAGCCCAGTAGACCTTCCTATGCTTCTATATATCGGCTACTAATAGGGACCGTCGGGGCTGTTAGCAAGAACACGTGGTATGTCGGCACGTCACTCCCGGAAAGACGATTAGCGCCGGCTTCGCGGCCAGGAATCGATTTAGGTACGTGCTTGCGCCACGATTCCGCTCGGGCCCCGCTTCCCGCGCCAATGTACCCGACCCGGAGAGAGAGAGAGAGAGAGAGAGAGAGACGCCTCGACACTTTCATGCCCGGCTTTCATTTATCTTTCTTCCCGTGACCGTTTCATTGTATCGCCTCTGATACTGGTGACGGGTACGGCTGTACCTGATAATGCACGGTATTGGGCTCAGTTGGAGATGTTTGGATCGGGCACAGGCTGGGCCGAGTTCTCAGAGGTATACAGCGTGTTCCAAAATTATGGGTTCCTGAGGTTATTTGAAGTAACTTTTCCCTCAGCGAAAGTGTTTTACGAGGCTCCGTTTACGAGTTATCGGCGAAAAACGCGGACCAATTGAAGAGCGAGGGCGGAGCGATGGCAAGCGAGGGCGTGGCGCCGTACGTTTTTCGTTAATAACTCGTAAACGAAGCCTCGTAGAACAATTTCGCTAAGGAAAAAGTTGCTCCAAATGACCTCAGGAATCCCTTATTTCCTGCTGGTACAATAATTTTGATACACCCTATATACAAATGATCCTCCAAAGTACAGATGACACGAGGGCTCACTGTTCACCGAAAGTGCGATAAATCGGCAGGAGAAAATTGCTCGTGGATGATCAAGGTGTCATTTTAAAGAGAAAACTTTTCTCTGCAAACTGACTCCAAGACGAGCCTCTGGAAAAATTCATCGAACTCCTCAGAGCCGTTAGAATCCGTGAAATTCGACGAAAACCAGATGTATCTCCACATCCGACGAACGCTACGCGACAGAAATGCGCGCATTGAAAAAATTAAGTCACGCCGTCTGAAAGCAGAGACTTCGCTCTTTAGAATGAGCCCAGATGGACAGTTCCACGATAGTATCCCGCGAAGCTACAGCGCCTCAAGTATCAACAACACATTCCGGTCGAAAT